TGAAAAAACAGTGTTTTATCGACAGCTCGATAAACAAGCAGATAATTTGCATTGTCTTGTTACTTAAAAATGAAGTTTGTGCCCATGTTTTTAGTTAATTATGCAATAGTCCAACATGGTTGTAACACTTTTTGACCCGTCCCTTCTGTGGAACATCTTGTCATTGTCGAGGAATATAAAACGTTTTTATTTATATTTTATTTACTTTCTCTTGGGCCTTTGCGAATCCTTCCGTGCATCCATGTAACATCTAAAATCACGTGAGCTGAATCGATCACATTTACGGTAGTAAGGGATGACACTGAGTTGCATAAGCGCACGCGGAACCTATTACACCGGTGAGCTATTATGCAAATCTATATTGAGGCAACTATGTTTTTGCCTCTGTGGCGTACACAACTAGCTCAAGATGCAATTCAGAGATGCAATTCCAAGTTAAACAAACCTTCATACCTAGGCCAAACCAACAAATTTTGCTAGGAATACAAATTTGTGATGAAAGAAGCGGGCAAGCTTCAGCTCTTCAAACAAATGCTCCAGCCATATTGTAACTCACAAAGACGCTAGTAATAGGATGGACGTTCCGGATTCAATTATCCTGACCAATCATATCACAAAACTTTTTAGAGGTAAGCTACAAACACATGATTCCCTATAAAATTGTTACGAAGGAATTTAACATTCTAAGCAGTGGGGCGAATTCTATGAATGTCTCAAGGAAAAGACATATTTTCGTCCCATAAACTGCGACACTGCACCTTCACCGCCTATTTCAACCAAGATCAAGTCATGCTTTTGAATTACGCGAAATAATCACAGTATAAATCTTCTGCGACACGCACCAGTATGACGTGCGAAGATTTTTGATTGGTTATCTCGAACCACTGCTTGTGGGGGGCGTTGCACGGGACTGGCTAATGAATAACAGCTTTTGCGAGCAAACAGAACCTAATTTGGCAGTTGCACATATTACAGCCGTGCCCTTTTACTTTAAGTACTGGCGACGGGTTAGTCGAATCAGCCATAGCCCCACTGAAAACTGAAAGTATATACCCAGTGATCTGGTTCGTGAATGGTGCGTCTGAAGAGCTTTTTTCTCGGTCAATGAAATTGTCAGTGACAACCACAGGGTGCACATAATCATATTGAGCATTCGTTGCTCACAGGCATACGAACTAATTTCGCAGACTCCGGATTTACCATGTACCGAAAAATTTGATAAAAGCGGCACACTGGTCTCTAATCACCCCAATACAACAAAATCAGTGATTGTTTAGTCATTTAAGCTCAGTACCCACATTCAAGATGAGAGGAAGTCAGTTGCCGAGTTTTCTCGGAATATTGTGACTTCGGCAACTACCGAGACGAACTTATCAGGTATCGTCCGGTAGTCTGTGTGAAAAATGTTCGCATTCAGCCTTGGTTGTTCTCTGTTAACACAATGACTTACTAAAGTGCCTGTGATATTGCGACGGGCATGGAGGCAGCTGAATGTGCTGCAAGCTTTTGCAGAAATCGCAGCTGAATTCAGAGCCATGTGCTGTAGATCTCCCGGTTAAGGTCAACAAAGTTGATAACGACGCCAAAGGTTCACATACGAATGCTGCGGCTTGCTGCACAGTCATCCACTAGAACGTACTCATGCTATGACAGTTTGTAATAAATGCCAAAAAGGTAGGTATTTTGCTCGTATATGCCCGTCCAGTGTAAATTCACATTCCGTGGTGCTAGGCAATTAATTTGTTGCTATTGAACCACTGGAGGGTACTAGGGGTGTTCCATAAAGACCGAACATTTGTATTGGCTCGTCAACCGGCAGAGGGAGCGCGCTGTGGCTACTGAGCGCATCTAGAGGCTTAACTGGACAACAAAAGGCCATTTGCCGCGTTTCGTTCTGACTGTTATTTAGTGAATTACAGGCACTGAAGTGAACACGTTCACAAGCTGTTCCTCGGATTAGTGCCGATGAGACAATGAAAGAGGTTACAGAACAACTTGTATGGGTGAATTTTTGCTACAAACTTAGCAAAGCTCTTTACGGAGACATTTCCATTGCTTAACCAAGCAAACGGAGAGGACTGTATGGGTCGCACGCCGTGCTATAGGCCGTTTAAGTGTTTTGAAGACGACAGAATGTCGGTAGCTAAGGATCCAAAGCGAAGACGACATTTCACATCAAAAGACGATCATCATGTTCAGAGTTCGTGCTATAATTAGTGGAAATCGTCGTTTAACCGTTCAAAAAGTTGAGGATCATGCCACCAAATTCTAGCGCCTTTGAGAGATGCCGTGCGCAGGAAGAAGCCTGAAGTGTGGGAAAGCCAGACGTTGATTTGCATCAGGACAATGCGCCGGCTCACGCATCGCTGCTTGTCCGAAGCTGTCTTGCAAAACACCATACTCCCGTTGGGCCCCATCCATCGTATTATCCGGACCTAGCCCCGGCAGACATTTTCCTGTCTCTCAAACTTAAAACCATGTTTGAAGGACCTCTTTTCCAAACCAGGGCGGAGATTCGGGACAATGCGACAAAATACTTGCGCATCATCTCAAAAAGTGTGTTGTAAGAGGCCTTCCAAAATGAAAGCACCGTTGGGAGCGGTGTATTGCAATTAGAGGGGACTATTTGGAGGGTGAAAGTGCTTAAAATATCGTGTAATGAACAATAAAGATGTTACAGCAAAATCTCGGTTTCCTTATGAACACCCCTCGTTTATAGCACACAACAGCACCACGCGCACAACCACCATGTTGCTTTGTGTTAACCAGATTCCCGTTCACTTTGAAATTGGTACGGACGGTGCAGTAACTTTGTGCAACTAACGAACTTGGTCAAAGATTAACTCTGACGTGTTACACCAAGCTGTGGCGGGCACCCTTGTGACTGTCTACCCACAGTGGTTGCGAACTGGAACTGTTGAGGGTGTAAGACACTGTGGTACTATTTGGAATGTCTACAACCCGGAGAACCATACAGATCGTACGCGAAGATGATCAAGACCTACTGGGCTGCAAATGGATCAGTCAGCTCTAGGTCCCTCAGATAAATCAACTTTCCTTACCAGCTGAGATACCAACGCTACTGCAACAATACGCACCAGTTATTGTAACTGTTGTATCGCCGCCAACTACTCACACCCTGCTAAAGTCTGTCTACTGTACGATTCCGGTTATTGCAACAAGTCTTTTTGCAAAACTTCCCAATCCAACCGTGTAAGAATGCCTATTAACCGGAAAAACTGCCAAGACACTCCTCATTCAGCTCGAATCCTCAACATAATCTATTGGTGCAGAAGAGCCCCTATGTGGTTGACTCAGAATTCGCTTGATTCGACTTTCGCCCACATGCAACCTATTAGGCAATTCCGTTAGCTTCAAATCTGGTCGGTCTATCTTAGCTAGAATGGAAAGCTGCTTCTGCCGGGAAGACATCTATCCGCCCTATTACGACACACGACCGCAATATGAGCACGAAAAACGAGCCAGGACAGTAGTGTATACACGAGAACATTGTTTCGCTTCTATTAGGTACAGCAGTTGTTGAAGCAAAGGTGTTGTAACCTAACGGAGCCAACCAACCGCACAGGAGACGCTGAGTGACACCGGCGAATGTGAAGTGACGAAAGTAAGGACCAATCACGTGTGTCCGAGAAAACCGTCTTAGCGAAAATGAGATAACATCAATCTCAGACGGTACATGCCGACCAACCAAATTAAAGAAATGACACATTCAAGCAAAAAAATCGAAAAACTGGTGATAGCAAAATGTAAGACGGTAACTTAAACTAGCCACAAAATATGTATGTCCATTAGACATCCTCCTAACAACAGCAGAAAGTAAGTTCAGGAGTGGGCAGGTTGATTTTTACCTAGCACACAACCACGATCCATCAATGCACGGTTACAGTCGTACTCGATGCGAGCGAAGGTAGAATTTGAGTTTACTCGACTGCAGAACCAGCACAGTTTTCGGACTGGGCTACACCAGTTGTTCCAGTAATCAAGCTTGATGGATTGATTCGTATCTGTGTTGAATATGGAGCCACCAGCAATTGTCATATTTCGCCTGATAATACTCCATTTCGAATGTTGAGGACGTGTACGCTCAGCAGGATACTTGCATATGCTTATCAACACCTCGAACTACAGGAAAATGCCAAAACCAGGGCCGCAATTAGTACCCATCGGGATTTGTTCAGATAGAACAGACTATCATTCGGCATCCACACGGCTCCGGCCATTTTCCAGCAAACTAGAGAGCACAGCATAACAGGCCTGCCTAGAGCTATCGTGTGTCTAGACAATATCCTGGTTACCTAGCAACAATTAACCAATATCTACAAACTCTACGAGTTGTTTTGGACGGCTTGAAGGAAAACGGTTTGAAGTTGAAACGGAGAAAATGCGTGTTCTTAACATCCTACGTTGATTATTTTAATATTTGAATCAACCACAAATCTAAACTCGTCCTAAGCGCATACCACTATGAAAATAATGTTAATTTTAGGTTCTTGGGCTAGTTGCTCTTTCACTTCGCATTTTTCGACAGGTTAGCACACACCTCCATACAGTCTGCGTAGCTAATTCTGGTTCGACCTCTGTGGAAAGTATTTTTCTTTTACTTTCATATATTCGAGGAAAATTCACTGATAGATTCACTATCCATCCTACTTGAACAGTATTGATGAACAGCAGTTGGTTGGGTAATAACATGACATAAGTGTCATGCGACCTCCACAGTCCACACAATCTAATTTATGTGGCTAATATTTTTTGATGTAACTTACAGGTGCTGTTTCTTTAGGCGCTGATCGGCATTATTCCGCCGCGTTTGCTCCATTGGTACTTTTTCATTCAGGAAGTTCAAGCACTTCGATGATTTTGTCTAGTACTGACGTCAACAGTTGCGGAACCTCTACTCTGAAAATACAAGCAGCATGTTTACAAAGCAGAAGTTAGCTATTTCGTTTCCACACTTTCCATATCTTTCTCCCCTCCAGAAGCCTGCCAAAGTCAGAAGCTAAGGATGAGTTTATCCGGCGAGCCAGTGAAGTTGAAACCTACGGAATGGAACCATTTCAAGTGATGGTAAGTGCAGACCTCAACGCGTCCCAATTCACAAAGTAACTCTCCGGGGCTTCCAGCCTCGAGTGAGTATTGGGTAACCATACAGTAAATGCAACTTGAACGATCATCAACAAGTTTGGCCAAGACGATACGACTGATTTGATGACAGTAGCTGTTTTAGAGAATGGCGTCCACATTAACGTGGCGCTGTAACCGGCCTCAATCAGAATCTAACACTAAACGTTACATTCAATGTACTTTTCCGAATTCACACCCTCCTACATCTAAATACTACGACAGGTTTCGTATTTTTGTATGGACCATTTAGGTAGTGATAGCCAGAGGCGGAAATCAAACCTAAGGCACATATTGCCTGCTGGTTGCTTCGTCGGTCACTAGACTAATAAACTCCGCCAGCCACTATCGGCACAGACCTTATGAATTCCTTGTTGTTTTTTGTAGTATCCACTGTATTTGCTTACATTGTTGCGCGTAATCTCGAATTGGGCCAATGTCTATGTTGAATATAACCTAAGCGCTCCACCCGATTGTATATTTTATGGAAAAGGTTTCCTTTGTAAACCAACCAAACCATTCCTAACCACAAAGCTAAGTAGGCAACCATGGAGCACACTTCAGTGGACGGAGGAAGCAGCGTTCCGACCGTCTTGAAATAGCTGTGGCATCAGGTCATGTAACTATTGATGTTACAGTTCTTTCGTTCTTAAATGGGGTGATAAAATCACCTGGCAATAGATTCCAGCAGCATATGACTAATGAGTTGCAAATAATAAGATTGTCCCTACTGTTTTATGGAAGTGAGAACTCTGAAAACATCTTCCTGCTTGTCCATTTTATCCCAAACACCAATCATCTCCGTGGGCAAGTCTGGTGGGTAGCCCTGCAAAGACAGAACTAGTTCCGAGGTTTGATTAGATTGAGTGCAAATGCAAAACAACCTCTTACTCATTGTTTATGACCGATTGTCATGAGCGTTTGCTAATTATTTTAACTATTTGACCTCCGAATTATTCATCACCACATGTTCTATATTGTATTCGTTGGATGCTGCCCGGCTTCTGTTGCCACACAAGGTTTGTCCGAAACGCAGTGAAACTGATTTCCTTAAACCAAGCAGAATAGCTGGATGGCGGAGTCTACAGGTGTAGCAGTTGTTTGCGGATGTTAAGCAAACGATCGATTACTTGCTAGCTGGCTTCGAGGTTTTACACAGAGTGGATCGCTTGTAGTGCAGACGGCCGTCTGAGCGTGACGTAACGGTTAGAATGTAGTACAATGTCGAACAGCGCTAAACGCAAAGCTTTTAGGCATACAATAGAAAATCCGTATCCAGACACATATTGTGATACAGAGAACCTACGTAGAAGCTTTTTTTGTACCAAAAGCATGATTGTTCCGGTGACGTAGGTATCAGAGGTGAAACGTGATCCTCGAAGATAATGCACAACCCCCATTAGCGTTTCACACTTCGCACAGGGCAGATAAATTAAATGCGATTTTGGACTTTGGTCGATGCTTGCGCTTGATATTGGTTACAAATCAAGTAAGTCCCCAAAATCCATTGCGCATGAAGTAGCTGTGACAGATTTGCATGCACCGGAAGTCCTCACCAAATGGTTTCCTAAGGTTCTGACCGACGAAAACAAATCGCGTGTCGATTCCTCGTGAACTGTTGTATCATGTGTGAACTAAACGTGTTTTTAAAAAAACATGATAACCGCTACTTAAACATTAGCCTCAGAGTACGATCCAATGGTGTATGGACCAAACACGCTACTGCCCACTCGGGTGACAAGCACGCTTTTTGATGTCGTTATGAGTTAATAAGGAGCCAGCAATCCAGGCCTCAAGTGAACGTAGTTACTTGGTTACTTGGGCAACTCCCGACAAACTAGTGATGATTAGTCGATAATGTTGCCATCGGCGTTGCCACCTTATCTTTTTCTACTCCCATATACCGCGACAAATATGATCGCACCTATATCCAAAATGAACAATTTACTTGAAACTATTTGAATTACGAACTTCCCGATCATAGGCACCTTTAATTCAGTAATGAACTTAGAAGTCGTCTAAAACACCTATTATCGATAGGATTAGTACATTTTTAAACTGACTTTGTCAAGTCACAGTCAGCGGCGAAATTGGTCATTTATGATTATATGTATGCGATGGTAAGGGTTAGGAGCCACACCTTTATGTGTATATTTTTCCTGCATCAACAATATTACTTAATTTCACAATACGCTTCACCCAGCGTCGTTTGGATTGAAATTCAACTGGCGTTCTGTCCGCCTCTTTGCTGTTTAGTTTTGTAGCGGCCGATTTAAACTTCTTGCAACTACATATACCAAAGCTCGTTTCGTAGAGTATCCTATGCTACTTGAGATTAGACTATATAAATGCATTCCATCTTTTTATGAGCCAGCATGCTGAGTTTCCGATTTATTTAAGGCCGATGAACATATGCGACGTGCTAAGGAGCTGACGACGACGCTAAGCAAGGACTTCTTACTTATGGTTTGGCTTTACTTCCTGAAGCCGCCTCGGTGTTCCCGCAGTTTAGCCTACAACTGTGTGTCCCTGCTGTCAGCAACGTATGCAGTTTATGATACGAACTGATGGATGTAAGCCCGTCACAGTAACTTCCCTTACTATTTCTTTAAAGCGTCTTCTGATAGTATACAACCTAAGGCATCGATCTATGCAAGGCCTTTCAGCATCAGCGTTCATATGAACCAAACCAACAGACCGCTGTATCCCACAGGATGACAGGAGCTGGAATTATCTGGCTCCAGGTTCGACTATCGAGGTCACATACAGTAGCCACGAAGCGCTTCACCGAACCAGCATTCATCATGGCTTCCTCTGCGTCCATCCACAGGCCGCGTCTATTAGGTACCCTCAGAATATTAAGACCATAAGGTTTGCAAGGGCCAGCTGCGGTACGTTTTACGTTCCTTCACTACGCGTTCAGTGGAACAAAACACCTCACGACATACTTGTTGGACATACGCTAAACAGCTTGATGGAGTCGTTCGTGAAACTACCATGCATACCATGGGTATCTTCTCCCCAACATTGTCTAGTGGTTCAGAAAGTGCGGCGGTTTCAGTACCGGCATAGGTTGCGCCAGTCTTGCTCAATAGCCTACAATGTGATGTAGTCGATATGTACCAGCTACTCGTCCAACTCGATGGTGCAAAGCCCCCCGGACCAGACGGACTTCATCCACTAATATTCAAGTCCCTATCGATACTCATCACACCAGCCGTGACAAACCTTTTCAATAAATCGCTCTCTGAAGGATCTGTCCCGAACGACTGGAAATGCTCGATAGTGAGACCGCTTTCCAAGGGTAGTGATCCGAGTAAACTAGAGAACTATAGACCGATCTGTTTGACTTCGGTATTATCCGGTGCTCGAGAAGTTCGTGAAAAATTGTCTGATATCGTTCTTCGAATCGATGGACGTATTGACGCCAGCGCAACACGACTTTACGAAAGGGCGATCCTGCATCATTAACTTGATGTACGCAAACCACCAGTGCGTGCGAACTCTTAAGGAACGGAAGGATGTTGACATGGTGTATCGACTTTAGTAAGGCGTTTGACAGAGTGAACCACGAGGTATTCCTTGGTAAACTGAGGACATACGGAATCGGTGGCACGTTACTTCAGTGGTTATACTAGTTTATTGTAGGACGGAAGTTTAGAGTACAGGTCAATGACTATCTGACAGACTGGTTCCCATCGAGTAGTGGCGTGCCTCAAGGAACTGTACTTGGGCCAGTATTATTTCCTATTCATATAGACGATCTTCCGCATCAGCTCCAGTCACCATGTGCCCTGTTTGCAGATGATTTGAAAAGCTGGAGGATCACTGAGGACCAGGACGACTGCGTTCGCCTCCAGAATGACTTAGAGCGACTGTCAACGTGGTCCACTGAAATGCAACTCCCTCTTAACGCAAGCAATTCGGAGTTCCTCAGTACCACCAGACGCCCAGCCACTCGATCATACACCTTGGACGGCCAGTTGCTCTATTTCAACATATCTGTCAGAGACTTGGGAGTTCTCTCACGACATGAGATCACTAGAAAATACAGCGAAATTGTACCGTGCGGGACTTTGTATGCTCTGGGCATTAAGACGCAGTTTCTCCACATGGTCCGAAGAAACCGTCCCTCGTCTATTCACCTCGCTCATTAGACTAATCCTTGAATACGGTGCCCCAGCTTACCATCGGATAACCCAATGGGAAACTGAAAAGCTGGAGAAAATACAGCATATCGCAGCTAGAATGATACCGAGTCTGCAAAAGCTTCCGTATGTAGAACGTTGTGAAGGGCTCGGACTCTACACACTATCCCATCGCCGAGTAAGAATTGACCTTAATATGACCCATCGAGTACCATACTTAAATCACTTCCCCATACTGCGGCCAATATTTCACCTGCGGGAACCCTGTAACACCCGAGGACACCGTTACAAACTCAGGGTCGCCAACATGAACAAAGTATCACATCAGGTTTGTATCGAACGAAGAATCGTAAACTTATGGAACACACTAGCTGAAGGATTAACAGAGGCCGATTCTGTGAAGTGTTTTAAAACGCGTATCGACGAATATTTCGGAAAACTGTGCTTTTGTGAAACGATGCACATACAATGACAAAAGAAGACATTGTATGCCCCGAAATAATGACACTAGTACAAATTTCTAACCGAACAAGGATAAACGATTAACGGACCAGACACAACTGCTGATGATTCACAACTAAATAATTTTGATTTTTCCTAATTCGATAGAGTTGTACAGAAACCTTTCTACTTGCTCAGTCTCACAGATAGACACCTATCCACCACTCACATAATTCACCGCCCGAACTAGTGTGTCATACTAAAACAAAAGTCAAGCACGAGGCGACAAGTCATACATGTACAAATTTTATTACACGATAGCAGCGGTTTTCCTCATACCCCACACCTGCTGCTGTA